CTTGACGGCTAAAGGTTGACTCAGCCTTCCACCCTTTGAAGGTAGGTAAAATGAGGAGCCAGATTGTTGGGGAAAATATGCTAACTCTGTAATCTGATTAGAGAGGGCTGTAAAGTACTATGAAGTGGTATATAAGTCTAAGTGCTATTACTATTGCTATTCTGCAGGAATCAAATTCTATTCCCCAACTCTCTGAAAACTTTAGCATGTTTTATCTTGCAATAGCTTTGAAGGCCTCCAGCAGTGGTGAGTAGACAGTTAGATCAGTGTTTCTCAACCTTGACAATTTTAAGGCATGTGGACTTCAACTCCCAGAATTCCACAGCCAGCAATGCTGGCTGTGGAATTCTGGGAGTTGAAGTCCACATGCTTTAAAGTTGTCAAGGTTGAGAAACACTGAGTTAGATAAAGGCTTAGGACCAAATTCACTAGCTGCTGTAGCAGAAAGCTCATGGTAATGATTGACTCATCTCTTCAGTAGGGTGGAATTCACAGCTCAAGAATTGGGTCTAGAGCAGTGATTCTCAACCTTTCTAATGCCGTGACCCCATAATACAGTTCCCCATGTTGTGGTGACCCCCAAGTGGGTGTGGCCACCAATAAGAGGGAGTAGGACAGCTAGGGAAAAGGGAAAAAAATGGCGGACAGCATGGTTTGGCGACCCCGGTGAAATGGTCATTCGACCCCAAATGGGGTCCCGACCCACAGGTTGAGAACCACTGGTCTAGAGGCTGAGCTGGAAACAAGACACCAGAATTAAATAAAAATTATTCAGTTCTTTAAAGGCTTTTTTAAATTCATGTTCTTAAATTTCTTCATGATCCAGGGAGAAAAGAGAGATTTAAATGTGCAACAGAGCAAAAAAAAATTAACAGATTCATTCATCCAAACAGTGAGCTTTTAAGTACTCTGCATCTAACAGTTCTGATTTTATTTCCTCTGTATTAACTATATATATGATGTTACATAGCTTACCAACTTTTTATTTATGACAATTTTTTTTCTTTTTAAATCTCCATGACAAGCAAACAGAACCTGATCCTCTCTATAAAGAAAATAATTGCACCATAGTACATGAGTGTGGAAATTACATTCTGGTAGTAATATTAATATTTCATTTTCTACATGCTTTTAAATAAATGTGGTACAATATTGGGATGAACAATTTTCAAAGTTCTGCAAAATTCTGTGTGTGGGTGTGTGCACGCATGCACACATGAATGTGTATAGTTTCCAAAGGCTGTAGAATGGAAAGTGATTTGGACAAGCACAAGTTAGTATGTTTTTTGGGGGGGGGGGCTTCAAGAGACAAAAAGGAGTGTGCTGGGCTGCATTAATCTTAGCGAAGGCTTAAGCTCCTCCCCCCCCACACACAAGCATTTGCATTTTAACCCTCTCTCCCAAATCAGGAAAAGGATTCACCTAACTTGTTGTGGAAAAAAAGCCTTCAAAGCAGAGATAAGCAATGTAGCATCAGTGAGTAAATAGTCTCTGAATTCTCCAAAATGAAATTCTTGGAATCACAAAGATAAAAATATCAAATCTCATGAAATTTGAATTCAACGAAGTCTTCCCAGAGGACACTAAAATCCCTAGGCAAGGATATGATTTTTCAAGAGGCCATTTAAGAAGACAATGTTGTTCTTATTCTTAGATGTTGAAAATATCTCTATTTCTCTCCCTCCCTCCCTCCCTCCCTCCCTCCCTCCCTCCCTCCCTCTCTCACTCTCTCTCTCTCTCTCTCTCCCTCCCTACCTCCCTGCCTACCTAGCTGTCTGTCTGCCTGCCTGCCTGCCTGCCTACCTATCTACCTATCTATCTATCTATCTATCTCAAAGTGGTAAACATAGCTCATATACCTGCCTTCTATTTTCCCCTTACTTATAACCCTGTGACTGAGTTGGTCTAATATAGAATCCATGACTCAAAGTCACCAAGCTGGCTTTCATGCCTAGAGCAGGATTACTGTACTACTCACATTCTCTTGGTTTCTAGACCACCACTTTAATCACTGCACCAAACTGGCTCTTCTCATTTAGCTGTTGGAAACTGAAGAATAGTAACATCCACAAACCCACAATTGGTCAGATGCCAGTGAATGGTATCTGGAAATATACTGGAAACAACTCATTCAAAATAAGAAAGTAAGGAAATCAGGTGAAAATATATATTGATGAATCATCTGTTGTGAATGTGGGGGAGGGTGTAAACTTTTATGATTACTTAGCATTTTTAAAAATGCTATTTCACAATGGACATTAAATAATCGGGATGTTTAGCAGCTAAGAAATCTTCCTCACCTAGCTCTCTCTGACCCTTTAGAATTCTCTCTCCATAACAGTTTGAATATTCATATGATAATCTATGATGAGCTACACTTAGAAAAACTTTTTTCCTCTCAAGATATAAAGTACTTTTTTCTCACCTAAGAGAAATGCTTTCTGTCAAAGTAAAATCCAAATCAGCATATGTCCCAAACTTCTACTTTTCTTCCTCAAGAATTGACATAATATATTTAGCCCTTCTATCACTAGTCCTAAAGGAAAATTTCAGCTTTCCAATCCTTGCACGTTTTAGCATCTGCATCCTTTCAGCAGCTGAACCAATTCCTTAGTAGTACCAAGGCATCCTGGAATGTTTGCCCCCAAATGTCAGTGCAGCTATTAAAAAATGTTTTATTTCTATGAATCTAAACAGTAAATTAGTTCCCAACAAATGTCATATAGCAGGAAGAGTTATGTGCAAAAACGTAATAAAGACTTGAAGTACTGGAAATTTCTACTTTATTAGTTTTCTATCTCATTGTCCTCAAAACCTGCTTATAAAATAGCTTAAAAATATTCTAGGCAATGCCATGGTATGAGGGGAGTAAGGATGGATGGAAACAAGAAATACAATCTTGTTTACTTGTTTCCATTTGAAATATATTTGTGGGTTTTGCTTCATTATGGATAACTTTGCCTCTCTCCAGATTATCAACCTAGAGACATCACAGATATTAAAGAATTAAAGACGACTCACAATCAAAAATAAACAGCAGTTATGAAAAATACATTGGTTCCAAATATTATTGAACTACAACCTCCAACATCTGTAACTATGAGGGCTAATGGTGAGGGACAATGGGAGCTTTAGATTAGCAACATTTGAAGAGCCAGAGTTTTCCATTTCTGTTTACATATGTAGGTTGTTACAGACTTTAAACTAAGATTTGTAATTGATTAAGCTCTAAAGCCTTGAATTTCAGGAAATTTCAGAATGCTTAATACCTAAGGTATAAAATCCAAATAATACCTGTAAAATATGTAATATTTCCCTTTAATTGCATCTATTCCTGTTATCAGCTACCCAGAGTAGCACATTGCATTAATCTAATCTAATCTAATCTAATCTAATCCAACCCAATCATACAGCCTTTCATTTATAGTTATACCCCTTAGAATATTGTATGGCTATAGATAGTTTTCATTTAATGTTGATTTTAAAACTGTTTGAAGTTACAACTGCCATAGAATGGTCCATAAAACACAGCCAAGCATCATAAATGGTCACATCACCCCATGGTCACATAACTGCACGACAGATGGGTCAGTAGCATTCTGCAGTCATATGACTACAATTCACAATGGGTTTTTTTTTTTTTGCCAGTTTCCAGCCCAAAAACATGCATTCAAATGAATGGTTCATTTAACAACCACCATGACAAACATTGGAAAATTACTTCCAGTCACATGAGTGCCTCAATTTATGACTGCAATGACATAATTCCAGACTCAATTACAGCATGACACTAGGACATTGCAACTATCATAAATATGAGTCAGTTGCCAAACATCTGAATTTTGAACATGTGACCATGTGAAAAATGTGTGAAAATGTCATAAGTCACTTTTTTCAGTGCCTTTATAACTTTAAATGGTCACTAAATGAACAGCTGTAAATCAAGGACTACCTGTAATCTAGACCATTGCATCATGATATCTCATCTCAAAAAGGATGGTTCTGAGCTGTGAAAGTGAAATGAGCAATAGTACAACATTTTATGAGGAAAAAAGTAACAGAAATTTAGGAGGAAAAACATTGGAAAGAAGATATTTTTAATCTATTTAGTCATCTACAATTAACTTTTTTTCATGGTAATATCTAAATAATCAATTGACATAAATTATTGGCATATATCTTCTATTGCAAAAAAAGAGTCATAAAGTTAAGCCAAGTCATAAAGTAACTTTTTAAAAGAAAATTACAGAGTCTTTGGTGCTCTCCGAACTTAATTCTTTGATTGCAGACATTTCATTACCCAACTAGGTAACATCATTACTGTGCTAGTGAATTTGAAAGAAGCTCATAGCGTACCAAGAATTCCGTAGTCGAACCTTGAGCTACCTATATTCTCGTCTATTCTCAATATTATCTGCAAATGAAAGTAATTTTATAATCTTATAACTTATCCTTAAACTTATGACCATCACAGCATCCCTGCAATTACATGACTGCATTTTAAGTGCTTCATAATGAGCTTCCAACAAACAAACTTAATGGAGAGTCTAGCAGTAAAATCACAAGTAACAGTCCTGTTGAGACAAAAAAGTGGCTCACTTCTACCAGAATAGACCTAGACAACTTCATTGTTCCGCTGTAAACATGAAAACCAAAATGTTGTATATACTGTATGTTTTACCGCATATTATGTATTTTAATATATTCATTCCATTATTTACTGTGGAAATCCCACAAATGCAAAACCTCATTTAATCTTCCATTCGCTCACTAGTCAACAATATTTTAGATTCAGATCAATATTTACCAAGAACAATTTACTCCAGCGATTAGATAGATATTTCTTGAAACCCTTTTTGGAAATATCCCTTAAGTGGAAAAGAGAATTGAAACTTTTATCAGAAACTTATTATATAGCATATCAAAAATGAAAGACATAGAGAAGCTACTTCACGATGGTTGAATTTTATTAAAATTATGAAGTTATATTGTTCACTCACTGTTTAGTCACTTCTGGCATTTGGAGAAATTCCTTTTTCTTGTTTTCAGCTGATTCAACAGAGGTAAGTAGCGTGGCCGCAGAGGATACGATTGACTGATGGGAATCTTCCCGGCAAACTATAAAACAGCAAGAGCTTAGTTGCCAATAGTCGAACAACGTCTCCTGTTTCTGGATATTGTTTTCAAATGAGCATTTCATATGTCCACCGAAGGACTTCAAACAATATTATGAATGTGGGACAAAACAGGCTATCTGTCCAATGGTAGAACAATCATTCTAATTAAGTTATATAAGTCCGATTTTTAAAAATACAGGAAGGATCATACTGATATTTGATTCTTTATTAGTCACCTGAAATTATGTAGTCCAGCAACAACACGCAAACATGGTGAAAAACTAATAAATGGATGACATGAAGGAGATGAAATTCCATTGTTTCCCCACACACTGTGGAATTTTTAACATGCTCAGATAGCTTTTCATATGTTCTCTATTGTTAGCATCTGGCCTTTCTCTAAGTTCAAATGGCAGGAAATAAGGCTTATCTGGGAAGGATGATAAATGAAAAGAAATCTAACTTACTCATTTCAGCGATATTTAATAACACTTTAAAAAGCAACAATTTTTGGAATTTTGTTCCAATGCTAGCTTTTCTCCTGAGGCAGGTGACTCAAAGACAACAGTTATTGTTAAGTACATTATAGATATACAGTGGTTTAATTGTTCCATTAAAGTTGTTAATTAGTATGATGGGTTCTTTAATTATATTTTATATCTGAATCACCTTTATAGCCCTTCATGCCTTGGGACCAGATTATCTGAGGAACCTTCTCTTGCTGGTCACATCTACCCAACCAACTAGAGCAGGGAGGCAAGGAATGTTGCAGGTCCCGTCCGCTAAGGAGATACATCTGGTGGGACCCAGAAGAAGGGCCTTCTCCGTGGTGGCTCCCTGCCTCTGGAACATCATCCCTTCAGAAATTAGACTGGCTGTCACTCTAACACTCTTTCAGAAGGCACTAAGATGTGGTTCTGCCAGCAGACCTACAGAATCCAGAGCAGGATGGAGCCCATTAAATGGCTGGTATGAATGTGTGTTGTTGCTGTTGTTATTATTTTCATCTTTTATTATTTTTTTCTTTTATATTGTGTTTGTATATTCTGTAAACAGCCTTGAGTCGCCATGTGTGAGTAGGCAGCAATATAAATTTTCTAAATAAATATAAATAAATAAATAAATTCTCTATCCACTTTTATTGTTACTTGGGTTAGGAGGCTATGGAGTCAAATTAATACTTGATGCTAGATCTTCCCAGTCTAGTGTATGAAGTACCTTAACACTTATTCTGTCTATTTGTCTGTCTGTCTGTCTGTCTTTGTTTCCCTTTGTCAGATACCACAGAAGTTGCATAGACTTAGCCTAAAAACAATAATATACACCAGGCTATATATCTACATTTATGTTACATTGAACTTATTCTTATTTTGCTTCCCATTCTGATCAAATGACAGTGATTGTACTTCTCAGATATACCACAATTGCTAAGGAACTTCTGTTCTTTAAACTGTTAGCTGCCAAAACATGATTACAGACAACAGTATTCCCCAAAGCATTGGTTGCTATAAATCTGCAATTAAGCCACAGGCCAGGTTCTTTAAACACTGCAGAGCCACAATGATAAAATTGTAATTACTGTAATAGGACCATTACTAGCAAATGAATTACAGCCAATCAAGCTTTGCCTATCTTCTCTTTGTTTCACAACAGCCACAAAGGATGCAGTCATATTTGCTTGGTGGTATCAAGACAGGATCCCAAAAGAGGAGGCTGAAACTGACTTGTTTAATGAAAAGAGTTATCATATATCTGAAGAGCTTTTAGGTTCCTTGGAGCTGATAATATGAAGCAAAATAGTATGATTCAACTGCCTTTATAATGAAATCCATAAAGCAAAGAAAGATTTTCAGCCACAGATTATGTAGAAAAATACATCTATAACTGAACCAAGGATTCCACACTTCTAACTACAGATAATCCTCAACTGAGTGAGAGATGGCTGGAGCTGCAGGGCTATCAGGGCTCAGCAGAAGCGCCAGGATCAGCACTTCTTCAGGACTGTCAGGGCTCAGTGGAAGTGCCAGGATCAGCACCAGGCTCCAGCTGGAGCTTGGCGCTGATCCTGGTGCTTCTGCTGAGCCCAGAAGAAGTGCCAATCAGCTGGAATGTTGCAGCATCTCCAGGGTCTTGTGATTTACATTCAGATGCTTGGCAACGGATTCATATTTATGATAGTCACAGTGTCCCAGGGTCATGTGAAGTGACCAAAACCTGCTGCAACCACCCAGTAGATGGGGGGGGGGTAAAAACCAAACACCCCCCACTCCACCCCCACTGCCAATGCTCAACAGAAATGCTCACAACAATGAAAACCTCAGACAGGAGGAAGAGCGCCGCCGGGCAGGCAGGCAGGTGTCTTGCTCGGCTGTGGCTTGGGGGGCACTTTTTTCAGTGCTATGGTAACTTCAAACAGTCACTAAGTGAACTGTTGTAAGTCAAGGACTACCTGTACTTTATCACTTTTTTCTCTCTTTTTTTGTCATCAAGTTTTTGACACCTTGCTAGGCGACTGGTGGTACTTGGATATTGCCATATCCTAAAAGTGGTACAGTGGGTGAAAAGGTTGAAAAGCCCTGTTCTAGATAATCATTTCAAAAGCCAAATTGCACTTCTTGTTTAATTTATTCTGTTTCCCACAAATAAATTAACTAGTAATAATACAATGTTACCTTCTTTTAAATATCTTAAGAAAAATAAATAAAAAGTGCTCAAAGAACGAAGAAGTCAAACCATTTTATAATTTAAAAATTCAGCCACAGTAAATAGACTTTTGTATTATGCAAAAATAACAGAACTCTATCCTCAAAACACTGGAACAAGCCTCAAGAAATCCTTCATCTTCATCTTCACTTCTCTTTTAAAAAGCCCTTGAACTAAATCTATTTCCTCAATATAAAGTAAATACATTAATTCAACCATGTAGGATTTTGTTTTCATTTGCAACAGTACAGAAAGTTTGCTACGTCTTCTAGTTATGTTTTCCAACTGCTCAATCTAGTCCAGGGGTGTCAAACTGCTGGCCTGTGGGCTGGATGCGTCACCAGGAAACCGCACCCACCCCACTGCCGGCAATGGCAAAAAAGTCACAATATGTCGCGACACATCATGTGACGTTGCGAGTTTGACATGTCTGATCTAGTCCAACTTTCGCAACTAGGGTTCCACAAGAGATGAATAAGGGAAATGCAAGACATTCTGATGTTTGTTTGTTTGTTTTTTTTAAAAAAAACTGCACTACAATAATGCTAATATTTACAGTGGTGAGATTTTTTGCATGCTGTGACTAAGTTGCAGGTCTGCTACTTTGCTATTGTTGCAAATGATATAGATCATGAATTGTGCAGGTTTTTATAAAAGTGAATTGTTTTGCGAAGTGTTTATCTCTTTTGTGATAAAAGACCTGAGACCTGAAAAATATCCCAAGGGTTATTCCAGAATAAAAAGGTTGAAAAAGACTGGTCTAATTTATGGGTCTAAGAAAGAATTTCCAAAACTCCATAGATACAGAATAGGGAAATATCTTGATTTGCCACATTGTTCTGCAACGACAGAAGGATTAATTCATATTTTACTTCTTTTATTGAAACAGACAATGTTCACAATTCACAATTCTTTAAGATTCTCTGACTTCCAGATCACGGCACTCTCAGCCATACAAAGAGCTGTCGCTCATTGTTGGCTGTTTTTCTCTCTACCTGTAGACCCTTATGCGGGTCTCAAATCGCCCTGGAGGGGCGACCACCATTGAGGAGGCTTTTGCTCGGCTGCAGTGGAGCGGCGGCTCCCCCTACAGTCTGAGCTAATTCCGTAGGGCCGATGGAGAAGAAGATCAGTCAGTAAAATGGTCGATCACTTCACTGTGCCAGCTGAAGTCAGAAAATCATCTAAGCATAAAGAACCACCGTGGTGAATCCGGGTGAGACCTTTCCTTCCTCTCTCCATTCTGAACTATTTTTCCTGCAAAGAGCTTGCTTTTTGGATGATTTTCCTGTTCTAAGAAAGCAGCTTCTATATGTTGGGGGGGGGGGGGAGAAATACTTTAAACAAAACTACAGAATAGCACTTATTATATTTTGAACTTTTTGGATTTGGGCATCCCTGGAAAGATTCCTAATTTAGAGCATTATTTTACTTACTATACTGAAGATATTTGCTTTTTTTGGTCTCTTTCACTGTCATTCTTAATGAGATAAAGGCTTTTAATGTGCAAAGAAAAAGCTTTCTATAGCTTACTGAGGACATCTTGTGGCAAAAATATTTATTGCAATTCTAATGTCTTTGTGTTGGTGTTTGGAGACACTACTTCAGGAATTAACAAGAAGAAAAGATAAAGGCTTGGAAACAGCTGTGGGTTGTGTTTGTGATTTAAAATTTGTGGAGGCAGATGTATATGGACTCTTAATAAATATAGTTTCCACAAAAAGATTAAAAGACTCTTTTACTATGGAAATAGAAGACTTTTACCTACAGCTTGACTATGAGCTGATATTGAAAAAAATATTGGAAATGACAGAGGAGATGAAGTTATGGAGAAAAACTAAAGGTTATTTTGCAGAACCACAAGCTGAGCCTCAAACTTTAAAAGATCAACCTATAGGCCAAGAAGAAGCCTATATGCAACAGTATACACAAACTGAGATGGAAGAAGAAGTTACTGATCAACTAAATTCTGGACTGGATTATGAGTTGATATTGGAAAAATTGGAAATGACAGAAGAGATGAAGTCATGGAGAAAAACTAAAGACCATCTTCTAGAACAGTGTTTCTCAACCTTGACAATTTTAAGGCATGTGGACTTCAACTCCCAGAATTCCACAGCCAGCAATGCTGGCTGTGGAATTCTGGGAGTTGAAGTCCGCATGCCTTAAAATTGTCAAGGTTGAGAAACACTGTTCTAGAATCTCAAGCTAAGCCCCAAATTTTAAAAGACCAATTTACAGGCCAAGAAGAAGCTTATATGCAACAGAGTACACAATTTGAGATGGAAGAACTTACTG